CCTGCCTGTCAGCATTTTTTTATATTTTCACTTTAATAACGCTTTAAAGTGGGTTTTAAAGTTAAACAGTTTTTTATTTTAATGCATTCCCTGCATTAAAGTGTTACTAAACCCACAACAGTAAAATCAGTCTGTATATGAAGTACAGCATGCTTGCTGTACTCACTGTGGAACCTAAGGGGTTAATCCTCTGCATTGTGTAAAAAGGCTGTTTGATCCTGACTTCTCTGATCCTCCCATTCTTCCAGTGTCCCCCTCTTATCTCCTGATAAGACATATGTGGAGTCATTCTGCACATGCTCACTTTGGTGTGTATTGCTAGAGAGGATTTTTTTTTTTCTTGGGAGAGTACATGCGATCAGCACAGGGCCAATCAGCACTGTCCAGACAGGTCAGGGGTTCTGCATCCTCCTAGAGCAGAATGAAAACTCCTACAAGCTTTAACCAATGCTCCGTTGGACACTGATAGAAGTCACAAGACTGCTCTGACTGCTGATGAGAAAAGGTATTTAGCAGTTTATATTTCTAAAATAATTGCATTTCCATGTTGTGTGTATTGTGGGAGACCAGATATAGTGAATGCAGGGTCCTGGGTTTAGTAACACTTTAACCACTTGCCAACCGCGCTATAGCCGAATGACTGCTACAGCGCGGTTGTCCAGTTCTGGGAGGGCGTCATATAACGTCCTCCCAGAACGCACCCTCCCGCACGCCTCGGGGGTGCACACCCAGCGATCTCTGTGTCCTACGGATATAGCTGATCACATGATGTGGTAAAAGGCCAATCACAGCGGCCTTTTACCACGTGATCAGCCATGTCCAATGACACAGCAGATCACCAGTAAATGCAGTTTCCGGTTATCGGCTGCACTTTCCTCACATTGTCACAGCGTGAGGAAAGTACTGCCGATAACCGGCAATTGTCAGAGGACGGATCGGCACCGATGATCAGTGCACTAATGATCAGTGCCCAGCAGTGCAACCCACCTGTGCCCATCAGTGCCTAGTGGTGCTCCCCATCATTGCTGCCCATCAGTGCCCATCATTGTTGCACATCAGTGCCGCTGATAAGTGCTTCCTATCAGTGCAGCTTCATCAACCCACATCAGTGAAGGAGAAAAAGTACCTGTTTGCAAAATTGTATAATAGAAACAAAGAAAAACTTTGTTTCATAGAAACATTATATTTGAATGCCTAGTTGAAAAATTCAGCTGGCATTATTTTATCTGTATTGTCTGATTTGGAAACTGATATTAAAGCAGAGCTCCACCCAAAAAGGGGAAGTTCCATTTTAAGGCATCGTCCCCTGCTTCCTGTTAAGTATTGGCACCGTTGCGGAGTGGGTACTCGATTTTAACAGGTACCCACTCCCACTTCTGCTAGGTGATCAGAAGCCGAAGTTCTTTGCCCCTCCACAGTCTTCTGGGACACATGACAGGTCCCAGAGGACTGTAGGACCATTCCCAATGCGCATCTCAAATCGTGCATGCGCAGCATCAGAACCAGGGGTGCAACTCATCTTTATCTCACATTCCAGTGACCTATTTTGTTGGAGTACCCAGCTAGGTCTCCAGCCCTGTTCTATGTAAGCCCTTGCATGTGTGTCAGAAGATTCCCCACAGAATTCTGTGAAACAATTCTTGTAGATTGATTTAAACCAGAGGCTCTTGTTTATGGAACATGAGTGCGACATTGACAGAACAGAGGGTGTACTTATAGTGATGGTATTTACAACCTCATCCTAGGGTTATAGAATTAAAGGTTACGTTCACCTTTTTAAAAAAATAAATAAATGCACATTCCTTATCTACAAAAAAAAAAAGTGTATTTTATTATTATTTTTATTATTTTTTATTAGGAGCCTGCAGAGCATTGCTCCCACATTCAGCATATTGCCGGAGCAATGCAAGGCTCCTACAGACTGTCAGTGTAAGCTGTCTACTCGTACCTCATACGGGCGGGCAGTTACACAATGTCAGGAAGAATCAACGATCTACCTAGAGCGCTCACAGCACCATAGTAGTTCATTGAGAACTACAAGCCGTCAGCCACAAATGCTCCCATTCACAGAACTCTGTGAATGAAAGACGCAGCTGGGTGGGCAGAGCCCAGCACGGCCGCGTTTCTAAAAAACTGTGACTGCGGGCACAAGGAGAAGATACCTGCGGAACGAGGCTGAGAACTGCAGGAGTGGGAACATGAAAAATAGGTGGAACGTGTAACATGTCCCCAAAGGTGAACTTATCCTTAAAAGTGAATTTTTTTTTTTTAATGAACCTGTAAAGTATTGCACCCGTGATCAGCAGATTTTAGGTGCAATCTCAGACTCCTACAGACTGTCAGTGTAAGCTGTCTGCCCGTACCTCATATGGGCAGGCAGTTAATGAATCACAGGAAGAATCAATGAACTACCAGAGTGCTCACCAGTGCCCTGGTAGGTCGTGAGCTATGACTAAGCACTGATGGAGCTGCTGGAAACGTGTTAGCTGGAGTACTGTGTTCCCCATGTTTTTTGGAAGTGGTTTATGCTAAGAATTTTATAATAAAGGTGATTTTATCGAATGTGCGGCCATCGGATATTTTCTTGCCTTATGAAGTCTGCTGCAGACAGGGCCTTCACCTGACAGTGTATGAGGGGTAGTGGAAGTGGGGACCAACCTGGAGTGGTGTTTTGTGCTCTTTCTGCCCTGGTAGGTCATTGAGAACTACAATTCATCAGCCGCAAACGTTGTCAGTATTTGTAGTTCTCCCAGTCACAGAACTCTGTGAATGAATGATGCGGCTGGGTGGGTTGAGCCACGCACAACCACAGGTTATTTAAATTGTGACAGCGAACATGGGAAGAAGATCCTTGGCCTGCTATCACAATGAATACAGGTGTTACATGTTAGGAAAAGTGAACTTATCCTTTAACCACTTGCCCTCCAGAGGATTTACCCCCATTACTGAACAGGCAATTTTTTGCATTACGGCGCTGCGTTACTTTAGCTGACAATTGCGCGGTCATGCAACGCTGCACCCAAATGACATTTACATCCTTTTTTTTCCCACAAATTGAGCTTTCTTTCGGTGGTATTTGATCACCTGTGCGTTTTTTTTTTTTTTTTTTATTTTTTGCGCTATAAAAAAAATTAACTGACAATTTTGAGAAAAAAAAAATATTTTTGACTTTTTGCTATTAAACATGTCAAGTAAAAAAATTTTAAAAATCAAATCTCCTCATAAATTTAGGCCAAAATGTACATGTCTGCTACATGTCTTTGCTAAATAAAATCTCAATACGTGTAAATTAATTGATTAACGTGAGTGTTATAGCGTTTACAAATGGCGGTATATATACTGGGATTTTTTTTGTATTTTTACTAGTAATGGTGGCGATCAGCGACTTATAGTGGGCCTGCGGCGGAATTCTGACACTGGGGGGAACTGACTTGGTGTCACTGACATCCTCACTGACACGAATACAGTGATCAATACAAAAAAAAAAAAAAAATTACTGACACTGTACTAATGGCACTGGGCAGGAAGGGGTTAACATGAGGGGTAATCAAAGGGTTAGCTGTGTGCTGTTTTACTATAAGCTGTGTCCATGTGCTTCACTGTAAGCACACTGCTTTGCATGGCTGTGCTGTGCACAGCCATCCAAAGCAGTGTACACAAGCTGACAGGGAGGAGAACTGTTTTATTTACAAACAGCTCTCCTCCCTGTCAGAGATGCTCAGCAGTCACCGGCGGGACCCAGTGATTGACAGCCGCGAATGGTGGTGCAGGTAGGGCGTGCATGTGCCCCCTACCTGGAAAGGCAAAATCACCTACGTGATTTTACACACCTGTGCCGCCCTGTAGCAGTATTTCTGCTATAGGGCGGTCGGGTAGTGGTTAAAAAATCACAGTTGCATGACTAAAATCTAACAAGACTGATCTCATTGCTTGCATCTTGTTAGTTTTAACCACTTGCCCTCCAGAGGATTTACCCCCCTTCCTGAGCAGGCCATTTTTTGCAGTACGGTGCTGCATTACTTTAACTGACAATTGTGAGGTCATGCAACACTGTACATAAATGAAATGTATGTAATTTTTTTCCCAACAAATAAAGCTTTCTTAGCCATCATTCAGTAAATGCCCACAAAGGTGATTCCGTGGTCACGTGGACAGCCTGAATCAGGACTAACTAGGAAGTGAGTGGCTTGCATGCTCACAGAAAAGGAGCATGCCTTGTACAGCTGGCAATGAACACACCATAGGATCTGATGCTGTATCGGGGACACAGGGAGGATGCAGCCCCAGTGAATGGCAGGATAAACCAGGTTTTTATCATTGGACAAAAACAAAACTTCTCTGTGCTTCCTGCCCCAGTTAGTGGTAAACTCTCACATTTCAGGAGATATCTGCCTACATTTTAGCTGCTATTCTGTGAATGATGGATATACATTATAAAACATTTCTGCAAAGTCTAAAAGTGCATTCCCTACATTAAGGTAAAAAACACCACACTAACAATCCCCCCCCCCCCCCCTCCCTTTATCTAAACACATAGCTGAGTCCTCTATTGATCCAGCTCTGTGCCTGACTACAGCCCTTCTCTCCCCTCTTTCTGGTCTCAACGGCTACACTAAAAGCAGTGGGAGCCATTGCCTTCTGCTGCTGTCAAATCCTGTGAGGAGGGAGCAGGGGGTGTGGCTGAGCCACCCAGCTCGGGAGCTTGCCCGCATGGGTGCCCTCCATGGCACATGGCTTGCTGTTGAGGCAGCCGTAAGAAGGAAGGGAGAGCGCTGGCAACGGACTGCCCAAGAAGGGGTAAGGGATTGCTCTGTGCAATATTGTTGCACAGATCATGTAAGTATATCCTTTTATTTTAATTTTAAAAATGTCTTTAGAATAACTTTACCTAATATTTCTGGAGGTGGTTTTTTACATCTGGAGAAGTCTTTTTTTATGGTTTTATAAGAAAGTGTTATATTTACAGGTTTTACATGTAAACATTTTCTTCTGCTATAGGAATGCTGGATGCAACTGGAATTAAAGAACTGACATACAGATCCTTACAAGTGGAGAGACTTGTAGCAGACAGAAAATATGAAGACATTATGTACCACCTCTCTTACTTTGACACTCTTGAGGTCAGTCTACAAACCCTTCAACAGGCAGACGTCATCAGGGTTGTTTACAGGGTACTTAAGAGCTGTTCCCAAGGAGCTATGAAAAAGAAGGCCAAGTGCATACTGTCCAAATGGAAGCTCTTATACAAAGAGAGCTGTTCCCATCCCAAGCTTCTCGAAGAAAACCACACAGGTGAAAGCAAAGAAAGTTGTAACAAAGAACTTGTAACAGTGCAGCCAATCCCAGAAAATGAACAAGACAAAAGTGTTCTGGGTAGTATAATGGATCTTCATTTGTCTACAGCAACTCAAGAAAAAAATGCTGAAAACACTGATTCAACATCTCAAGAAGCTTGTTGTACAAAGTCCAGTCAAGAAGGTCAAGAGAGAAAATCATTGCTGAGGAATTAAGAGTAAAATGCCGAGAACTTTTGAGCCAAGCTTTATCTCATACTACAGAATGCCTGGAGAAAACAAATAGATATGCAATTGAGCTAGAGGAAAGCATCTATAATATGTATGCTAGAGAAGAGAAGAAGTATAGAAACTGTGTACGGAGTAAAGTTTCCAATCTGAGAAATCCAAAGAACTTGCATCTAAAAGGTCAGATTTTCTCTGGAGTATTAAGTCCTGGGGCATTTGCTACAATGACTGCAATGGAGATGGCTAGTGATGAACTCCGAAATCTCAGAGCCAGCTATACACAAGCAGGTGTTCAGGAACATCAGCTACCCCAAGGTGTTGATGGCCTCCAGACAAATAAAATTAAATGCCGGAAGTGTGAAAGGTTTAATTGTACAGTTACCATGATTTCAAGGGGAACTCTGTTTCTGCCTGCTTGGGTGCGTGCTGGAAATCCTGATGAAGAAATGATGACATTTGTCATTTGTAACGAGTGTGGAGAGAAGTGGTATCACAGTAGGTGGATCTGTCTGTGAAAGCATTTTGTCCTATTTTTACTACTGTGCTACCCTGGCTCCATAGATGATAAAAAGAAGAGTCGCTTACAAAGGTAGACCTTGTGATGATCATTCAACCACAGCAAACTGATCACCACTGGGCAGATGATCACAGAATAGAAAGGCAACCCGAAAAACATTTCTCATCTCTAAATTGCTGCAGTGAAATGTAGCAAACCAGTAAAGATTTGTATGCAGCTCACTCTGTGAACTACTCAGTACATGTTGTGTTTTGTTTAGTTTTTTTTAACTACAGGGTATCAGGGCTTACACTGTGCTCTGAGCAGTAACATGTAGTAGTTAGTAGTACACTTGCTGTTTTGTACTTAAAGTTAAACCAAATATTAACCACTTGCCCTCCAGAGGATTTACCCCCCCTTCCTGACCAGGCCATTTACGTCCTTTTTTCCCCACAAATAGAGGTTTCTTTTGGTGGTATTTGATCACCGGGCTGGGGGACCTGGGGATTGACAGCCGAGGCTGCGAATGACAGCACAGGTAGGACGCACGCACGCCCCCTACCTGGAGCTGCAAAATTGTGTGTGTGTGTGTGTGTGCGTGCTTTAAGAAATCAGGACAGGGCTGTAGAAGGTCCTTAACCCATCAACAGGACAGTATCTGCTCCTTTGTGCAAGGAGGAATAGGATGAGCACTGCCAGAGACCACACAATGACCTTCAGCAGGCCACTGGTGTGAATGTCTCTGACCAATCAGAAACAGAGTTCATGAGGGTGGCCTGAGGGCCCGACGTCCTCTAGTGGGCCCTGTGCTCCCTGCCCAGCACCATAGAGCTCGATTGGCATTTGCCATTGAACACCAGAATTGTCAGGTCTGCCACTGGCGCTATGTGCTTTTCAAAGATGAGAGCAGGTTCACACTGAGCACATGTGACAGACGTGAAAGGGTCTGGAGAAGCCGTAGAGAATGTTATGCTGCCTGTTACATTGTTCAGCATGACCGTTTTGGTGGTGGGTCAGTGATGGTCTGGGGAGGCAAATCCATGGAGGGACACACAGACCTCTACAGGCTAGACAATGGCACTCTGACTGCCATTAGGTATTGGGATGAAATCCTTGGACTCATTGTCAGACCCTATGCTGCTGCACGACAATGCCCGGCCTCATGTGGTGAGAGTATGCAGGCAGTTCCTGGAGGATGAAGGAATTGATACCATTGAATGCCCCCCCCCATGGTCCTCTGACCTAAATCCAAAAGAACAGCTCTGGGATATCATGTTTTGGTCCATCCGACACCGCCAGGTTGCACCTCAGACTGCCCAGGAGCTCAGTGATGCCCTGGTCCAGATCTGGGAGGAAATACCCCCAGGACACCATCCGTTGTCTCAGTAGGAGCATGCCCCGACATTGTCAGGCATGCATACAAGCACATGGGGGCCATACAAACTGAGTACCATTTTGAGTTGCTGCAATGAAATTTCAGCAAAATGGACTAGCCTGCTGCATAATTTTTTTCACTTTGATTTTAGAGTATCTTTGAATTCAGTCCTCTGTAGGTTGATAATTTTCATTTCCATCAAACGATGGAGCATCCTTACATTGCTAACACATTACCCAGTCCATATCAGTATAGATATCCAGCATGATATTTTTCCCTATTGAGATCTGATGTGCTTTCAAAGTGTTACTTTCATTTTTTTGGAGCAGTGTATGTTACATTGTTTTTCTTACTGTGTTCTTCTGCCTCCTTGTAATATCCTCTGAGTTCCTAAACCTCTCACTTTCCTAAACCTCTCAGTTTCCCTCTCACTTCTTTTTGTTTGGAATGAGCAGTGCATGCTAGTTGTGGTCATGTTCTCTATGCACACTACAAATCCCACAGTCCATCTCAGTAGTTAGCAAGAGTGGGTGGCTACATTCCTACATACAGTAGAACAAAGCCACCTTCTAACAGGAAATCGGATCACAGCAGCAAAAAGAAAAACATGAATTTGGAGGAGGCTGAGAGCAATAGAAAGTGTTTTTTTTTTTTTTTTAAGTTAAGCATACAAGCTTGAATAGAGTTTAGTGTCACTTTAAGGCTAGATTCACACTGCTGCAATCTGATTTTGATCCAACTTTCAGTGCAATTATATAGTGTAACTTGGATGCTACTTTGAAGTGGTATACAAATTCTATGGGTCCAAAAACCGTGCTAGAATCACACCAAAGTAGTAAAGGAAGCTTTTCAAAAAGTGTGCCATGCTAAGCTGCAGTGATGTGAATAGCTGCTATTGAAAACAAGGTGATTTCCATTGTCATGCGATTCTGCGTGACTCAGGTCACATCTGAAATTGCACTAGTGTGAACGGAGCACATGGCTAGATTAAGTGTTTCTGTGTAACTACGATGGCTTTCTGCTTTTTCACTGGAGGTGCAAATCCCCTTTAATAAAATTGCATGTTGTTTCTTGCTCAAAAAAGCTGATGCAAAATATTTTTTAAATGAAACTCCAAATTGTTTTTGTCTGTCTGGTTTTTTTTTTTATTGTCTGTGTTCCAGTTGAAAGGATTTCCCTTTCTAGAGACAGCAAGTGAGAGTTATTCTTCCCAAATGAGCTGTCACCAAAACTGTGTTTTTTACTGCTCTAGAAATGTAGATTGCCCTCAGGTTTTTTTTTGGTCACAGTGGAGCACACAGACAGCAGTGTTATCTGACAGAGGTACTAACTAACCCTGCCTCATTCTACCTGCAACTAGAAAAAAAGTTTTTGCTAAAGTTCCAATAAAACATTTAACAACTTCAACTCTTGCACAGGTATATGCACTACAGCAGCTTTTACATTTCAGATTCAGATGAGAAACGCTGGACACATACAGAGGCATCCATCCCTAACCACAGGTATCTGCTGGTTGTGCTGACATTGACCAGCAATGACTCCTCTAAGTCTGTTCTTGCTTTGTACAGGCTGGGTAGCTGCAGCTGTTTGCATGCACCTATGAATCCAGTGATAAGAATCTGCTGATCCTTGGTCTTGGAATTCGCTTTATACACATAATCACCTGTGTGAAGGAGGTCAAATACACATATAGAGCAATGTGCCTTCAGATTATTTATATCGTAATCTCTCATCAAACCGTTACTTGCTGATCGCATAAAGCTGCTGGTACATTTTTAAATAATAGTTTACCAAAATAAAGAATTTTTTTGCACTGCATTGTTGGAAGACTCTTTAATGGAAATTACCAGACATTTTCAATTAGGTTGCAACATCTGATTCCTTTTCAAGATACCTCCTTACCTTAAACATCTATCAGTTATGCTATATACCAGTGATGGCGAACCTTTTTGAGCCCGAGTGCCCAAACTGCAACCCAAAACCAACTTATTTCTTTCAAAGTGCCAACACTGCAATGAAACCTGAATATCGAGCTTTTGGTTTAGAAAAAACAACTCGTACAGTAGTGCAAACTAATTAACAGTACAGGGATGACCAGAGACTGCGGACACAGTAGAGGGATGACCAGAGACTGCGGACAGTACAGGGGATGACCAGAGACTGCGGACACAGTACAGGGATGACCAGAGACTGCGGACACAGTACAGGGATGACCAGAGACTGCGGACAGTACAGGGATGACCAGAGACTGCAGAGTACAGGGATGACCAGAGACTGCGGACACAGTACAGGGATGACCAGAGACTGCGGACACAGTACAGGGATGACCAGAGACTGCGGACACAGTACAGGGATGACCAGAGACTGCGGACACAGTACAGGGATGACCAGAGACTGCGGACCAGGGATGACCAGAGACTGCGGACACAGTACAGGAGATGACCAGAGACTGCGGACAGTACAGGGATGACCAGAGACTGCGGACACAGTACAGGGATGACCAGAGACTGCGGACACAGTACAGGAGATGACCAGAGACTGCGGACACAGTACAGGAGATGACCAGAGACTGCGGACACAGTACAGGAGATGACCAGAGACTGCGGACACAGTACAGGGATGACCAGAGACTGCGACACAGTACAGGAGATGACCAGAGACTGCGCACACAGTACAGGGATGACCAGAGACTGCGGACAGTACAGGAGATGACCAGAGACTGCGGAACAGTACAGGAGATGATCAGAGACTGCGAACAGTACAGGAGATGATCAGAGACTGCGGACAGTACAGGAGATGACCAGAGACTGCGGACAGTACAGGGATGACCAGAGACTGCGGACACAGTACAGGGATGACCAGAGACTGCGGACAGTACAGGGATGACCAGAGACTGCGGACACAGTACAGGAGATGACCAGAGACTGCGGACACAGTACAGGAGACCAGTGACTGCGGACAGTACAGACTGCGGACAGCGGACAGTACAGGGATGACCAGAGACTGCGGACACAGTACAGGGATGACCAGAGACTGCGGACACAGTACAGGGATGACCAGAGACTGCGGACAGTACAGGGATGACCAGAGACTGCGGACACAGTACAGGAGATGACCAGAGACTGCGGACACAGTACAGGAGATGACCAGAGACTGCGGACAGTACAGGAGATGACCAGAGACTGCGGAACAGTACAGGAGATGACCAGAGACTGCGGACAGTACAGGAGATGACCAGAGACTGCGGACAGTACAGGGATGACCAGAGACTGCGGACACAGTACAGGGATGACCAGAGACTGCGGACAGTACAGGGATGACCAGAGACTGCGGACACAGTACAGGAGATGACCAGAGACTGCGGACACAGTACAGGGATGACCAGAGACTGCGGACAGTACAGGGATGACCAGAGACTGCGGACAGTACAGGGATGACCAGAGACTGCGGACACAGTACAGGGATGACCAGAGACTGCGGACACAGTACAGGAGATGACCAGAGACTGCGGACACAGTACAGGGATGACCAGAGACTGCGGACACAGTACAGGAGATGACCAGAGACTGCGGACACAGTACAGGAGATGACCAGAGACTGCGGACACAGTACAGGAGATGACCAGAGACTGCGGACACAGTACA